GCAGAGAGAAGGAAAGTGTGTGTGGGGGAGTAAAAGATAAATAGTTTTGCTCACATGATATACACACGGCTATCCACACACACACACACAGTTCAACCAGCAATTTCAACATAAACAAACACCCATCCACCTCCTTCCCGGCATTTCCCTACATTAGGGAAAATTTCAAAACCCCAAAAATTTCAAAGAAAAAGACGTTAATGAAAATAAACTGGAAGGAAAAATCAATAATGGTTGCAAAATGAGGTTCCCCGCTTCATTTCTAGCCCCCAAAAAAATCTCCGGATACCAATCCATTGGCCAATTGTGTCTGGAGTAATTTGGAAAGCAAGGTTAACGCACTAAAAAATACCAAAGTGTCGATCACCTCAAGCAAGCGCTTCGCCGGGAATGGCCCAAAATACCGCAGAGCAACATTCGGGCAGCGTGTGACGGTTTTATTGGCCATAATTCGTGCTAAAGGTGACCAATTCAAACAAGTCTAAACTTATTCTAAAATTTGATGCTATTTCCGACATTTTTTTGCTTTTATTCAATAAAATTAAAAAAAAAATTAAAAATTATTGCGTTTGACTTTTGGTTGCAGTTTTTTTATCTCGCCCTGTATTTATATTTTGTGTCAAACTAGTTCATCGCTCAGTACACCAGTTAATAAACGTATCAGTGATTTCCTAAATTTCATATCACTCATACGCAGAGTTTTCATACAAACGGTCCTCGGAACTAGATAAGGAACACCCCTATTCTCATTAAATTTCCCGCCCTTTCGGCCGATAATACCAACACAGAAAATTAATATTTTCATTGCTCATTGTTCTCAACAAAAAAATTCCATGAAATCCCGTTGTTTACATTTTTAAGACCGATACTTTTCAGCCTACGATATTATTTCTAAGCATACATCCCATCTCTGCAAAACAACACAACACAAGGGATACGAAACTTTATAAATAATGATAAGCAGACTCTACTCCTTATCCCCACATTCCATTTCTTCTTTTCTAACCAACCCCAAACCAAAATGTGTATTACAGCTCTTTTCCAATAAGAGCGAGAGAGAGAGAAATTGCAATTTTTTTCTCGGCAAGTTCATTGAAATATGCATGCAGTGTCAAGAAAAAAAAACACTCGAATTCTTCTCTCTCCCCCGTTTTATCCTTGTCATACTCATTCAACATTCACAGAATGCAGCCAGAGATGGCAGCAACATTGCTACCATAACTTTTAAGCTGTTATGTATCGTATAATCTTAGAAAAAAGAAGGGGGAGGGAGGTCATGAAACTAACTACAGAGGAAGCAGGTTATAAGGAATAGCAAGGCTTTAAAATTGCAGCTGCGCAATGTTTATATACGAAAATGTAATTGTTGGTGTTGTTTTGCTGTTGTATGTGTTGTCAGTAAAAGTGGGTGGATAATTGACATCTCTAAAATAGTGATACAGAAGAGCAGTGAGAGTGAGGACAGTGTGATGTGCAGCATAAAGTACAAATTGTTTGTTTGTGTTGTTATCACCACAAACACTGAGACACTGAGCGACACTGAACTATAACGGTTGTGTGTTGTTTGGTTTGTGAAAAAGGGGAATAACGAATAAAACAGGGTTGCCATATTTAAGAAATTGAATATTGGCAGAAATCTAGAATGGGGAATAGTTATAAACATATTATATCCGTTGATATGTTTTGTTATGAAAAAGGGGAGAAGCGAATAAAACAGAGTTGCCATATTCAAGAAATAAAATATTGCTAGAAATCTAGAATCTGGAAATAGTTATTAGAAATAGTATATTTTATCCGTTGATATGTTTTATTATGATAAAGGGAAATAACGAATAAAACAAAGTTACCATATTCAAGAAAAAATATTGGTAGAAATCTAGAATGGGGAATGGCTATTAACAATAGTATATCTTATCCCTTGATACGTTTTATTATGATGAAGGAAAATAACGAATAAAACAGAGTTGCCACATTAAAGAAATAAAAAATTTACAGAAATCTGGAATGGGGAATAACTATCAATAAAATAGTATATCCGTAGAAATGTCTTATTGTAAAAAAAGGAAATAACGAATAAAACAGAGTTGCCATATTCAAGAAATAAAATATTGCTACAAATCTAGAAGGGGGAATAGTTATTAATAAAATATATATCCGTTGATGTGTTTTGTTATGAAAAAAAAGGGTAGAACGGAAAACAGAGTTGCCATATTCAAGAAATAAAATATTGACAGAAATCTAAAATGGGGAATAGCCACTAATAAATTATATATACTGATCGGTTTTGCTATGAAAATAAAGTTGAATGACGAATAAAACAGAGTTGCCACATTAAAAAATTTATAATTGGTAAGTATATTAACGGAAAAATGAAGAATAAAATTATATCTGCTTAAAATATCTATTCCAAAAATGTTCCTAACAATTTTTTAGAGTATAAGACTGTAATTTATTGCATTTCGGCATATAAGGCTTCAATGTGGCATATCTTATACAGCAGTGATTTTATGATATATAAAACCTCATTTTTGTTTTTATTTTATGGCATAAAACACTTTGCTACGACCTTTTTTAGTATATTATAAAGTGGCCGATCTTCTACAACATATACGACTTCATTATTTTAGGCTGAAGAGATTCCTGCATTTGTTTTCTGTCGTATAAGACCCTGCAATATGACCCTAGTATATGAAATAGTACACTAGGGATTTGTGGCAATATAAGACTTCACTTCAATGTTTTTAAAGATGTATAAGACCTCGTTAGTTGTTTTTCGTGGGAGTATAAAACCTCATTTAAATGCAACTGTAGAAGATAAGACATGGTAAAAGGACATCAGACATCATTGATGTACTTATACGGTAAAATAGTGTGATTACGGCGTATAAGACTTAATAATCATAGGGCAAATATAAACTTATGCGGTAAAAAATAGTGTGATTTCGGCATATAAGACTTAATTATTTTGGGAAAAAGATATTCTTTCGCATATTTTCTGTTGTATAAGACATTGGAATATGGTTTGTGGCAATATAAGACTTTTTTAGGTGTATAAAACCTTGTTAGAGGGTTTTCGTGGGAGTATAAGACCTTACGTAAATTCGACTATGTAATAAAGGACTTTTTAAAAGACCTCTCATTGTGTATGAGACATCATCATTAGGGATTATAAGACCTTACGAAATTAAGGCATCTAGACATATAAGGTCTTCTTAAAAGCGATTTATGCCTATAGAAGACAATATACTAAAGCTTCTACGGCGTATAAGACTGTTGTTATTATTATAGTACTTCTGTGGCGAAAAAGAACACATTTTGGCCTATAAGATCTGCTTTAATGACTTCTGGAGGGCACAAGACCTTCATATAGTTAATATGTGTCTTAGAGATATTTATTTTCGTAAAAAAGCTCTCTAATCGGGTTGTATAAGACTTTTTTGTGGGTATTATATGGCATATATGAGTCCAATAACAGTCTTCGATAGCGTATAAGACCTTATTATATCTATTTTATGTCGTATAAGACTTTTTTACAACTGATACGTTAGATTCAAAATCGCTACTATGAAACTTATACTGCGTATAAGACCTTTCTATCGCACTACTATGGCATATAAGAACATATTATGGATATTGTATTAAGCATAAGACTTTCTATAGGGTGTTTTGTGTCCGAATAAGACCTTATTATTCCAATTTTGTCTCGTATAAGACTATTTTACAACTCATACGTTGAATTCAAAAGCATAATTCTCTTTACTATGTAACTTATACTGTGTATAAGACCTTACTATGACACTTCTATAGCATATAAGAACATATTATAGATCTTGTATTAAGTATAAGACTTTCTTTTGTGTACTTTTGATTATATTACGGAGTTTCTCATTGCGAATAAAAACATGTTACAGTTCTTGAATGGCCTATAAGACTTCGCAACAAACCTCCTCTGGTACATGCGACTCAATTGCATAAGTTTTTAGAATTTAGGAATTTAGCAATTACAAATAAGACATGATTACTGTTCCTTTTTATTTAGAACCCAGCTGACTTGCATTTGCCATCCTCTTTTGCTTCCATGCGATTGCTTTTTGTTTGCATTTAAGGTTTGAAATTCAAACACACACGTATGTAGAGTATATATGCCATTACTAAGTGATAAAGATTGCAATTGTCCTTATCTCTTCGAAAAAAAAACAAAATATGAAAGAAACTCTTTAAATAATTCGTGGGAAAATATGCTGTTCAAATTAATGGTAAATTAGAGTAAAGCCTTGAATATTTGGAATAAGCAAAGCGAACTGCACAATTGGATCTTATACTTTTAGATACTTTTGAAAATTTCCAGCAAGAGATCATTTCTTTGTGGTCCCACTGTGAGATGTTCCGCAAAACTTTTATGTGTATTCCTGACGGATATTCAAAAACTGTTGCAAGGAAAAAGGAAGGAGAGGTCGGGCATAAAATATTTCCATTAACAACTTGGCCACAGATGTTTTTAATATGACAACGAGCAAGTTATCTGGAAATGAAAAGTATTAATGCCTTAACTATTAGAATTATTAAAACTTTTTATTAACTTTATTTTGGCTTAAGGTCAATTGAAAAACATCAGTGTTTTCTTTTTATAATTTTGATTTTTATTTTCCGATATTTCGACTGTCTTCGACAGTCATCTTCAGGGAAAAATATTTTTATTGAGAAAAGCAACAGTCTTGTTTCACCGTCTATGCTAAACTTATTAAAACTTTTAAAAATGAAATTTATTACAATTGTTCTGCAACTTTGCTCCCAGCAAGGCGTTGTGAATGTGGGAGGTTATTTAACATTTAAATCTAAGGAAATGAGATGGTGGCAATTTAATACGAAAGGGAATTTGAAATGAAAAATATAATTATTTGACAAATCCTTCCTGGTCTTTGGCTATCCTCTATGGTATTAAATAATATGATGTGTGAGAAAATCTTAATCCGAACCCATAAATGCCCAGTAATGTCATATAAAATTTTATTGTTATACATTGGATTTTAATGTATATTTTCTTCCGCATCCAAGACTTTCAAAGAATACCTCTTTAGAGTTTAAGTAGTTCTTCGTTATCTGAGTAGAGTATAAAAAGATTCAGATTCGAGGAGACTTTGCTGCAAGCGGCAAAACTTTCGTTCCTTGGAAGTCAATTTGAAGTGAATTAAGGGTACGCACTCCAGTTACAACAATTACTACGGGCTACAGGTAACAAATCACTTTTGTGAAAAGGTTGGAGAAAATGAAAAAGGAAACTTCCTTATGTTGTTTATTATCTTTTATCATAGTTAATACGATTTTTCGATTCATCTCTTTACTTTCCAAGAAGCCAACTTGTCAGCAAATGCCCCAGATTCCAAAGAAAACCCACAAACACCAAGACACACGTGTTGAGATCTTTTTCTCTAAAAAAATCATTGTAAATTAAAACATATCACAATTTTCTTATAAATTTCCTTACTAGATTCCAATTTTTGGAGTTTTCATTTCTAAATTATATTCAAATAAACGAAAAATTCATCAGCTTCCAAAGAAAACCCACAACCACCAAGCCACACGTGTTAAGATCTTTTTCTCTAAAAAGTTAAGCTTCAAATTAAAGCATATCACAATTTTCTTATAAATTTCCTTACTCGAGTCAATTTAGTTTAGTTTTAATTTCTAAATTATATTCAAATAAACGAAAAAATCATCTGCAAAATAAATTTAAAACATTTTAGCACATGTGAAACCATGTGAATGGTCAAGGGGAACACACAAATAATACCCAATTCCATGTGTTAGAAAGAGATGGTTATATGAACACAACACAATAGGGCATTAGCAAAACAACAACAAAGCAACAATTTTTGACAATGAACACAAGAGAACGTTGTTTTCTGACAGCTGCAGCAGCATGGTTCTGTGGTTTTGTTATCAAAGGAAAAAATGGGATAATTTCCCAACATTTTTATGTACATTTTCTAATCACTCACTAATAACAGTAAAGAAAAAAGGCCGGCAAAGACAACCATCAATATTCCTTTTATGATTAATTGCAGTCTTGTCTGATGAAATTTGCAAGAGAATGAAATGTCAGTGTTGTGTGAATGAAGAGTGCTCGGTCGTTATTCGCACTTTCAGAACCCTTACTGTGTGTGAAGCATTTTTCTTTGCTTTTTTACGTAAAGAAAAAACCAAATTACCATCCGAATTCTGCAATTTTACTTACCATTTTTATGTTAATCCTTTAGCAAACAATGTCGAATTTATAATTTTTTGTTACAAACAATGGGCAACGTATGAATTTCCGAATTATTTGTATTTTTTGTTTTTGCAGAGCGCAGACACTAGCTTGGTATACTTGGATTTTCTTTTTCCTGTTATTTTTGTTTCTTCTTTTTTATGATGACTATTGTTTTTAAACACACTAGGCAGAGGAAAACTTGCCTCTTCCGCCTAAACAAAAACGAAAAATACAATGTCCCCAAACACAAACTTTGGGGAAATGACCACAACTTTTTTTGTTTCTTTTCTGGAAGGTTTTTGTTTTCTTTTTATTTGCTCCTTTGATGTGTATTCACATCGCTCAGCTTACTCCCTTAGAATTTGGGAATTTTTTATGCGATTGCAGGGAGACATTTTGGTGCAATTTCTTTTTTCACTTAATTTTTTGTATTTTTTTATCAATTGATTTTTATTTTGGTATTTGTTTGCTTTTTTTATTCCACTTCAATTTCTTGTATGTACCAGCAGCAGCATTAACCACACACACTCCACTCTTTTTTACTTCTTTATGTAAAATTATTATTGTTGTTGCTTTTGTTGTTCTGGTTCTAAAGCATTTGCAAATTGTTAATTGTTTGCGGCAAAAAATTCACGACGAAACGATAATAAGCGCAACTCACGTCCGACACACGTCCAAACGTTCTTAAATACCGACAAAAGACAAATGATTTTTTTCTTTCGGCTGCTTTTTATTTATGTTTTTTTCCTTGATAGGGATTTCTAGATCGACTTGGGACTAATGGCAAGAAAAAATGGAAAGAAATAACGTGGTTAATTGAAATGGAAATTAAATAATTTCAGGGAATAATTTCAAAAGAAAAAAAGATGAAAATGAAAAAAATTATTGCTCATTGAAACATTATTAACAACCAGCCTTGCTTCAGGTTGGCACTTGAAATAGTGTCGAATGAAATTTGACATGTTGGTTGAGGGAGAAACTGAAAAAGTGAAGTACTTGGCTCGCGTTTGAGGTTATTCCGTTTCATTGATTACTTATTCTAATGGGACTAATGCATTATTCTTTTAAAAATTCACTTTTCAATGGGCCAAAAAGGGTTTTTTGGAAATAAAGGAGTCACTCTCATTCATGTTTGCAAGTGTGTAGCACACCATTCACTGAAATTTCTTTCAGATGAAAGATTGCATTTTCTCAGTTGTAAAATATAGTAGTAGCAGAATATAAAGAATGAAGAAAATGGCGAAAATGACAGAGCAGAACCAGTCAAGAAAAAAATTAATAGAGGAACCAAAGGAACCAACTAAGAAAAGGTAAATAAATATTTTTATTCGATATTAAACCATTAATTTGTTGGCGCTCTGGATTTGCAGGAGCTTTGTTTGATTTGAATTCTAAATAAGCTGAAATTTATAGATGTGTAAAGTGTTACATTAGAGGGGAATACGATGACCTAATATGTCATGGAATATGTGTTCCAAACTGCCTACAAGAATCTACCAGTTGCTTTATGGTTTAAGGTTTCTCGTCTGGAAGCAGACACCTCCGATAGGAGGAAAGCAAGAATGTCGTGACTAAAGGACAATTGTAATGGGATTATATTAATCAAATGGTGGAATGATTTTACTTACATAATGGTCCAGAAGCAATTTATGAATTCCAATGTCAAATTTATGACATATCCCACAATATAAATCAACCGGATTCTGTGGCGTTACTGCTTTCAGACAAGGTTAGGTTTTGGATGCCCATCGTTTTAGAAATTTTTTGAACACTACTTCACTTGGAGACCCAGTGGGCCATTGTGTTCATCTTGAAAAAAAAAAAAAAATAAGGACAGAGAAGAAAAAAGTGTGATAAGGATTGCATAGAAGGCATGGAGGATAATTATCGCATAGTAGAAAGATCAGTGAATGGGTAATTTCTTCTCAAAGCAAGAAATATCAGGCAGCCTTATTTAACAGCCACTTAAAGTATTTTGATAACCACGCCAGTTTAGTTTGAGGAAGGAGACTTACAACTCAAAAGCACAAAACAGTCTGGAAAAGGACCAGTTTCAAGTCGTCACAGCTACTTCCTATTTCTTGACCAAATATGAACAAAATGGATGGTCTCCGATAGTAGCGACTTATTTCTGTGGCAGTCATACATTCTATAATACAACTAACCTAGCCAGCCCAGTTGGCTGCAATTTAAGATGCCTGCTTTGCAGTGAACAACGTTCCTCACGAAGCATTTTCCACCATTTCACAATATAAAATGTCTTTGGAAAGAAATCCAACCTTCATTATGCATCAAATCGATTTTCTTCAAAACAAATCGGAGTTTATGGTCATTTCCAAGCAACGGAAATTGTTACAGAGAAAGACATGTTTATTCAGAAAGTTAATCATTGGCGGGGCTTAGAGCACGGTACATAAGTACTGATACCACGTCCGTTTGTTTGAAATCCTTATAAAATTGTGTCTTTTCAGGATGTACCAGTAAGCGGTATGACATTTCTGACGAATGTGTTCCATGGGAATCACTGCTTTATTTCATTATTTTAAAGGCCGATCATTGTTAAATTGTTGTTGTCATCCGGACCACAAGCGCAAAAAGCAATGTTACTTACGAAACAATAAAGGTCCAAAGCCCTGGATATATTAACTTCACCAAAGAAAAAAATGACAAAGTTGTACTCAGAACCTTTGAGGCTACATGCGACATGGTAAAAATGCTAAAAAATATATTTTTTGCTCAATATATTGCCAAAATCGACAAATCATAAATTCGCTGCAATGTCAGCGAAATAATTCGCTCTAACAACAACTTCATGCCACTCGAGTGTTATCATTTTTCAGTGATTAACCAAACGACCCTGTGCTAACATTTTGCAGTGATTAGCAATGACTTTCAGCGGTTATTTACTTGACGCTGTTTTTTCATTTAGCCAGACTTCGACAATGGAACTTTTAATTGGGGAATTTAACGGCATTTTAATTAATTAATTAATTAATTTTAATTTATTAAAAAAACAATAACTTTAAAGAACATGAGGGTTGTTTTCAGCATTGAGAATAGGAAGAGTAAGAAAGCGACAGAACTTTGAATCCTTTAAAGGTTTAAAAATGGCACCAACAAGATTTTTTTGCAAATTATTCAAGAGCAGTTTTTATTTAAAATCATATTTTCAGATGCCAATAACAAAACGTTGCTGTGTGCCCGGCTGCCATTGGGGAAAGGGCCCTAAAGCCACCACCTACCATGCCGTCAAACCATCATGGAAAGTTATGCTGCAAAAACGATATGGCCTGCATGATAAAGAAGCTCGATTTATTTGCTCAATACACTTTCCCGAATACTGTATGTATACGGTGGGGACACGAAAATTATTGTTTAAAGATTCCGAACCATCATTGTATCTTCCGGAGCCAACAAGTAAGTGGGTAGTTATTTGGTGTTTTTTTATTTGAAATATGAGACCAATTTTTGTAACATTGGGGCCCTACCAATTTGATTTGAAGTTATTGAAGAACAAATGGTGTGGAATTTTAAACTATTCCAGGTTTTCTAAAGATAACAAGCTCCATCCCACCTTGAGGCATTCATTGACAAAATATGCCTTCGTTTTCAATAGGTTTCCCATTAAAATATAACCACCATTAAAATCGATCTTTCAGTGGTTCATGTTTCGCCTCGATGTGATCTTGTTGTCATATAACGAAACCTTCCAATTCCAATTAAACCAAAAATTGAACTAAGTTGTCTATAATTTTCAAACATTGAGACGTTCATCATAATTTGTATATCATTTAATTTGCTTCTGTTTTTACTCCTCTCACAGAATCATTAACAGAGGAAAAGAACCAACTGGTCCCAGCCGCCCCGACTTCCGTCAGCACGACATTATCAACTTCGCCCGAAAGTAAAAACACGGTGATGGACAAGATTCAAGCCTTATTAGCCTCAAACCCAGAGTATTTGGCCAAAGGTATACCCAATCACATATTAGAAGAATTACAGCAGCAAAAGCGGCCGAAAAAGGTAGGTCCACTGCTGAATTCCAAAAAAAAATTGAATAATTGCTAATAAAAATCCTATATGTCCACAGGAAGTTTCACCCCCTGCCACTGTTCTGATAGAAATTGCAGATGATAGTGACTGTGAAACAATAAGTGTGGATGAATCGCCTGTCTTGTCCCCACCCCCAGAAAATGTGGCTGATTTTGAGGGGACAACAGTTTTGTGTCCCAGACAAGGAAGCGAAGCTGAATGTAAAGATTTTCCAGTTTTATCACCAGCAGCCCAGGAAGATGAAACCGAATGTACGGAGGCTTCAGTGCTATCCCACACACTCGAAGAAGATGAAGCTGATAACGAAAAAATTCCGTTTGACGAGACCTATGTGGAATACAGGCCAAGAAAATGTAAGAAGAAACTAGAAAATCCATCCAAAAAACTCGTAGAATTAATTCTGCTTTCTCTACTTTTTATCTAGTCAAACTTGGCAAAAAGCACCCAAATGCTGTGGTTGAAACTACCTCCTTATCTGCTGTAGAGCTCTGTGATATTGACTATGAACTTTCCATACCCCTGGAAACAATACAAAGCGGTCAATTGAGTAATTTACAATTGGAGTCGATAGCCTATGTCTCACAAGCCCATGACCAGTTTTTGCCCAACGAAAATCGGGCGGGGTTTCTCTTGGGTGATGGTGTTGGTGTGGGTAAAGGTCGTACAATTGCTGGTCTCATTTACGAAAACTACCTAAAGGGTCGCCACAAAGCCATTTGGCTCTCGGTGTCAAATAATTTAAAATATGATGCCGAAAGGGATTTTAAGGACATTGGAGCTACAGACATTCAAATTTATCCTCTGACAATGGTATTTAAAGTTTAATTCTTTTTGAAAATAACACCAAGAAAATGTTATTATTTTTCCAGTTTAAATGCGGACAAAAAGATTCAGAAATCAATAATATCGATAGATGTGTTGTATTCGGAACCTATTCAGACTTGCTGTCGTCGGATAAATACAAATCAAGACTCCAACAATTGCTGCAATGGTGTGGTCAAGACTTTGAGGGTCTCATCATATTTGATGAGTGTCGTGGTGGGTTTTCGGAAAAACTTACAAAGGCGCTGTTGGAACTGCAAAATGAATTGCCCAGGGCTAGGGTAGTATATTCTTCTTCAGTCTTAGGGGGTTTGGAAGCTAAAACTATGAGCTATATGATACGCTTGGGTGTTTGGGGCCAGGGCACAGAATTTCCACGTTTTACAGATTTCCTCAAAGCCATGGACAGAAGGTAAAACCAAAGATGAACAAGAATTCCCTTAAAGTTTTTGAAAATTATTTTTTTTTTTCAACAGAGGTCTGGGGGCCATGAAAATCATGGCCATGGAACTGAAGCGAAAAGGAAGATACATTGCCCGTCAACTGAGTTTCAATGGGGTATCCTTTAGAACCGAAGAAGTTCCTTTGTCCCAAGAGTTTACAAGGGTCTATGAGGAATCGTGTGGTTTGGTAGTTTGCCGCTTTTTAAGGAATCCTGGACATTATTTTAAAATTCTTTTCTTTTTTTAGTGGTTTGAGGCCAGGCAAAAATTCCATGAAGCTTCACAGTTGTTGGCCATTGAAAGTGCCCTAAAAACCTCAATGTGGAACGAATTTTGGTCTGCTCATCAGAGATACTTCAAAAGTCTGTATTTGGCAAGCAAACTTCAGCATGTGATTCCCATTGCCCGTGAGGCCATTAGAAACGGAAAGTGTGTGGTAATTACTCTACCCTCAATGGCAGAGTCTGATACCTCAAAACAAATGGATGGAGCAGACAATGAGTTCCCCGATTTTCCATTGACAACCAAGTAACTTCTAGATTTTTCTTATTCCACTTCGTTTTTGAAATTCCGTATTATTTTTTCAGAGGTATTTTCCAGTCTCTGGTGGAAAAGTATTTTTCGGAATCCGAACCACAAAGTTGTAAATCTACAATCGAGACACTCATTGCCGAATTAAAGGCAGAAAATAGTCCAAGAAATGATAACTTTTCTTCCCTCTCCTCCGCCCCATCCAATAAACGTAAATCAGTCACGCCAGAGGCAGTTAAAAATAAAAAATCTCGCATGGATTGTTGGGAAATTAACTCATCCGATTACAATGAGGCCGATGAAGATGGCAATGATAGTGTTTGTAATATGGAATCGAATAATAATTCAAATGAATGGCAAACCGAATGTGAATACTCAGACTCGGATCTAAATCTCTTTGAGGGAAATGTTTCTGGAGCGGTATCAGATTCCTGGTTGGTACGAGCGAGCAAAAAGAAGAAGAAGAAAAAGATGGCAAAGAAGTCGGCAGCATCAGTATCTGAGACGTCAATGGCCATGAAGCCATGCATTTCACCCCACTTATCTCTGACCACGAATCAAAATAGTCAATCTTCCACACAGAGTCATTGCTTTAATTTATCAGAAACTCAGGAGAAAGACTCCAATTCAATACCCGACAAAATACAAGATCTCTTGCCAAAGAAACAGCAAGCCATTGAAGCAACGAAATATGGTTCTTCACTTGAAGATGTCATAGAGAGAGTACGTTGTATTAAGGAGGACCTATTGCAAAAAATAAAATTACTGGAAGAACGTTTGCCCGTCATCTGCCTGGATCAGCTAATTGATGAGCTGGGCGGTCGTGAACATGTGTCTGTAATTACAGGAAGCAACGACCGCTGGCCACCATTTAAAGATGATGTTAATGATGGAAACCCCAACCTTTCCTCCCTGAACATCGAAGAAAGGCAACACTTTATGGATGGCAGCAAAAATGTGGCCATTATTTCAGAGTCAGCATTCCGCGGCATGTCATTGCAAAGTGATCGTAGAGAATCAAATCAAAGAACCCGCGTCCACATTCTTTTGGATTTACCCCCCTCTGTGGACCGTACCATACACAATTTAGGTCCCACACATCGTTCTAATCAGGCAAATCCTCCGGAATATATATTTCTTGTCTCCGACTTGGCCAGTGAAAAGCATTTTGCCGAAACCATGGCAAAACGTTTGGAATCTCTGGGGGCATTAAGACACATTGATCCCGAAAACATTCCTGATCCATGTCACCTCCATTTCAGTGTTGATAACAAATATGGCCACCAGGCATTGGAATCTACAGTGCAAACCATCATGGGTTATGAACAGGTTTTGGTGCCATCGCCACAAAACCACGACTATCATGGTGAACTCTTCAGGGATATTGCCAATGGCCTAAAGGGTGTGGGCCTTACTGGGCCACAACAAACCACACCGAATCAACTGAGTCTGGACAAGCTTTTCAATAGAATAATGGGTATGCCAATGGATCTGCAAAATCGTCTTTTTAAATATTTCTGCAATACTCTAAAGGCAAACGTTAAGAAGGACCGTAGACATTTTGATTTGGGAATTTTGTGTAAGTTTTGAATTAAAGGCAACGAAATTTCCTAAAATCCTTTTTTTCTTTCAGATTTGGGTGCATCTGGTGAAGAGGTTTCTCCTGTTAAAGTGCTACGTTTTATGCGCAAAAATGCCACAGGCAGGGAAACAACAGAACTGCATACTGTTCGTGTAGAGAGGGGTATGATGTGGCGAGAGGCCACAGAGAAGTAAGTTGTATTCTTGGGAGAATTTGATAGACCAAGCGGGAAATATTAATCTTCTTTTTACATCACAGGTATGCCGACTTAGTTGGTGACCGAGATGGTTTCTATCTGTCGCATCAGGAGTATAACTCTAGAAGGTCTGTCATTTTGGCTGTTGAACTGGAATCTCAAGCACAGCATCAAAAATTGCAAGGAAAAGAGGAAAAAGACATGCTTTTTCAAATATATCGACCAAATACTGGTCGACAATCAAACCCCTTAACATGGGCTGAAATTGAAAAGAAATACAAAAGGGTTACCATATCGGAAGTTGAAAGTCATTGGACCCAACAATATGAGGCAGCGGAGAATATTTGTTCGCATCTCTATTGGAATGGTAATTGTCGTAATGAGAACATACCGGAGGAGGGTGCAAAGTGTGAGGTAAGTTTTGGTAAAAAAATGCCCAATAGAAAATTGTCATCAATATGCCTTCCTTTTCAGATTGGTCTACGCCAGCGTTTGTACCAAGTCATGGCCGGGTCTGTGTGGCCGGTGTGGTCTCGGGTGGAACAAATCCTGGCTGTACATAATGACTATAGTCGGATGCAAATCGTTCATATACAAACAACAGAGGGTGAACAAATTGTTGGTGTTCTTGTACCGGAGTCATGTTGTCAACTTTTAATTCAAGATCTAAAGACCGATGCGAATCGAGTTGAAGAAATAAACTTCTTGAAATAAAACACAAACACACATACAGAGTCTGGAAACTTCATTTTCGATTTTTCTATAGAAAAATCTCACCAACGTTGATTTTTCTATAGGAAAATCTCACCGACGTTGATTTTTCTATAGAAAATCATCATCAACGTTAATTTTTCTATAGAAAATCTTCATCAACGTTAATTTTTCTATAGAAAATCTTCATCAACGTTGATTTTTCTATAGAAAATCTTCATCAACGTTGATTTTTCTATAGAAAATCTTCACCAACGTTAATTTTTCTATAGAAAAAGTTCACCAACGTTAATTTTTCTATAGAAAAATTTCAACAACGTGGAGTTTTCCATAGAAAAATTTCAACAACGTGGAGTTTTCCATAGAAAAATTTCAACAACGTGGAGTTTTCTATAGAAAATTTTCAACATCGTTGAAAATATCAACAAATATCTGACCAACGTTGATTTTTTTCTATAGAAAAATCTGACCAACGTTGATTTTTTTCTATAGAAAAATCTGACCAACGTTGATTTTTTTTCTATAGAAAAATCTGACCAACGTTGATTTTTTTCCATAGAAAAATTTCACCAACATTAATTTTTCTATCGAAAAATCTCACCAACATTGATTTTTCTATAGAAAAATCCCACCAACGTTGATTTTTCTATAGAAAAATCCCACCAACGTTGATTTTTCTATAGAAAAATCCCACCAACGTTGATTTTTCTATAGAAAAATCTCACCAACGTTGATTTTTCTATAGAAAAAAATCTCACCAACGTTGATTTTTCTATAGAAAAATCTCACCAACGTTGATTTTTCTATAGAAAAAAATCTCACCAACGTTGATTTTTCTGTAGAAAATCTTCACCAACGTTGATTTTTCTATAGAAAAATCTCACCAACGTTGATTTTTCTATAGAAAAATCTCACCAACGTTGATTTTTCTATAGAAAAATCTCACCAACGTTGATTTTTCTATAGAAAAATCTCACCAACGTTGATGTTTCTGCTGATTAATGTCACCAACGTTGATTTTTCTATAGAAAATTTTCGCCAACGTTGATTTTTCTTTAGAAAAATCTCACCAACGTTGATTTTTCTATAGAAAATTTTCAACAACGTTGATTTTTCTATAGAAAAATCTCACCAACGTTGATTTTTCTATAGAAAAATCTCACCAACGTTGTTTTTTCTATAGAAAATCTTTACCAACGTGGATTTTTCTATAGAAAATCTTTACCAACGTGTATTTTTCAATAGAAAAACTTCATCAACGTTGATTTTTCTATGAAAATCTTCAACAACGTTGATTTTTCCATAGAAAACCTTCAACAACGTTAATTTTTCTATAGAAAAATCTCACCAACGTTAATTTTTCTATAGTAAAATCTCACCAACGTTAATTTTTCTATAGAAAAATCTCACCAACGTTAATTTTTCTATAGAAAAATCTCACCAACGTTAATTTTTCTATAGAAAAATCTCACCAACGTTAATTTTTCTATAGAAAAATCTCACCAACGTTAATTTTTCTATAGAAAATCTTCACCAACCTGGATTTTTCTATAGAAAATCTTCACCAACCTGGATTTTTCTATAGAAAATCTTCACCAACCTGGATTTTTCTATAGAAAATCTTCACCAACCTGGATTTTTCTATTGAAAATCTTCACCAACCTGGATTTTTCTTTAGAAAATCTTCACCAACGTTGATTTTTCTATAGAAAAATCTCACCAACGTTGATTTTTCTATAGAAAAATCTCACCAACGTTGATTTTTCTATAGAAAAATCTCACCAACGTTGATTTTTCTATAGAAAAATCTCACCAACGTTGATTTTTCTATAGAAAATCTTCACCAACGTTGATTTTTCTATGGAAAAATCTACACCAACGTTGATTTTTCTATAGAAAAAGTTCACCAACGTTGATTTTTCTGTAGAAAATCTTCACCAACGTTGATTTTTCTGTAGAGAAATTTTACCAACGTGGAGTTTTCAATAGAAAAATCTCACCAACGTTAATTTTTCCATAGGAAAATCTCACCAACGATAATTTTTCCATAGAAAAATCTCACCAACTTTGATTTTTGTATAGAAAAAGTTTAGCAACGTTGATTTTTCTATAGAAAATCTTCACCAACGTGGATTTTTCTATAGAAAATCTTCACCAACGTGGATTTTTCTATAGAAAATCTTCACCAACGTGGATTTTTCTATAGAAAATCTTCACCAACGTTGATTTTTCTATAGAAAAATCTCACCAACGTTTATTTTTCTATAGAAAAATGTCACCAACGTTGATTTTTCTTTAGAAAAATTCCACCAACTTCGATTTTTTTTAGAAAAATTTCACCAACGTTAAATTTTGTAGAGAAAAATTCACCAACGTTGATTTTTCTGCTGAAAATGTCACCAACGAGTCTCTAACGATCATTTATGAACGTCTAACCCTTGAATTTACTGTAAATAAATTGATAACCATTTGCCTTTGTTTTTGTAAGCATTTTATATATTTTTGTAATATTATTTTGTTTTCAACTTCTGCTTAACATTTATAGACATTTTTCGATAAATTTGTATTATTATTTTTATATTTTTTTTAAACAATTAGTAAAGATTAACAAATATAGTTTAAAGTTTCGTACTTATGTTTTACACAGTTGGATGGATGGTTGGTATTGGGGATGGGATGGGGAAAAGCAGTGTGATGGTGGAAAGTTTCTCCAAAGGTAAGCAAATGAAATGAGATAAGGACATTGCAGAGGAGGCAATGAAAATCGAGGAGAATTGGGGGTGGTTAAACAGTATTTTATGATGACAAAAGGAGTGGATTTCTAAAGCATTCAAACCTGTTTGGGAAAAAGTATGGGTGTTTGAGGATCGTGGGGGGTTAGGTCAAGTTACGTCTTTTGTTTGTTTGCTTTGTTGTTTCACAATAAAATTCCATACAATATAGTTACAATAAATGGGGGTTTTAAGATTTCAAGTTCCACATATTCATATTAAGTAAATCTATTTTGTTCAGGCAATAATGAGGCTTGGTTTTTTTTCTTTACATTTTCACATAAATTTGTTTTTTCTTTGTTGTTGTTCTTTTGATTGGTTAATCGTCATAAGTTGTCTTTGCTACAATAATTTGAAACAAATTAGCCAGTTTTTTTTTTAATTTTTGCAAAATTGGAGGGTTCTTGCACACAACCGGACAACACTTTTCCGTTTATGGAATGGAAAACCTAACAAAACGGACCCCAAACAAGTGGTGGCCCTTGCACATCTTTACAATGCAGCCACAAATTCTGTTGCCCAGCATCTACATTTTTCAAAATGCTCTAAATTAAAATATTATTTTAATAATAATAATAAAAAAACTATCAAAATTTAATAAAATACATAAAGGGAAATTCAGAAATTTCCGCAATAAAATTTCAAAAAATTGTTTTTGTTTTGTGTGTATTTTTAAGTTACAAAACAGTAGTTATTACTTTTTAATAATTAAATTAAAATCACTTAATAAAGGTAGTTAATGGTTAAGTTTTGTTTTGTTTGTTTGTTTTGCTCTTATTGTTGTTTCTGTTGTTTTCAAAGAATTCTTGCTTGGCTTTTCTTCTTTTCTACTTCAGTGGGTATTCAATTTTATTTTCTTTTTTCTAAATAAAATAAATGTTGTGTTACTCTTTGTCAGTTGTGTTCTTTGAGTTTAGGTGGTTTTCGGTTTGGTTAGACTGCCATTTGTTTTACACGAACCATTTCCCAGGGGGGTTGCTGTGGATAGATTGCCATTTGAAGCTTTTGAGACTTTGGAATCGACAACGGCATCAGATGTTATGGATTTTTTGGGGGAGGACGATTTTGTGGGGAAGAAGACCTGTGAAATAAGAATATGTAACGAAATTAATAGAAATAAACTAGCAACCAAACTACACTAGCAATTTTAAATTTTCCAAAATTATCGATAACAACTTGACTGCATAGAAAAGTTAACGATAACAACTTTTCTGTATAGAAGAGTTATCGATAACCACTTTTCTGCAAAGAAAAGTTGTCGATAACAACTTTTCAGTATAGGAAAGTTATCGATAACAACTTTTCTGTATTGAAAAGTTGTCGATAACTACTTTTCTGTGTTGAAAAGTTGTCGAAAACTACTTTTCTGTATTGAAAAGTTGTCGATAACTACTTTTCTGTATAGAAAAATTGTCGATAACAAGTTTTCTGTAAAGAAAATTTGTCGATAACAAGTTTTCTGTAAAGAAAATTTGTCGATAACAAGTTTTCTGTAAAGAAAATTTGTTGATAACAAGTTTTCTGTAAAGCAAATTTGTCGATAACAACTTTTTCGTATAGAAAAGTTTGTCGATAACAACTGTTCCGTAAAAAACGCTGTCGATAACAACTTTTTCGCATAGAAAAGTTGTCGACAATAACTTTTCTGTGTAGAAAAGTTGTCGATAACAACTTTTCTGTTGTCGATAACAACTTTTCTGTTGTCGATAACAACTTTCCGGCTGAGAAAAGTTGTCGATAACAACTTTTCAGTATAGAAGTGTTGTCGATAACAACTTTTTTGTATAGAAAAGTTGTCGATAACAACTTTTTTGCATAGAAAAGTTGTCGATAACAACTTTTCTGTATAGAAAAGTTGTCGATAACTACTTTTCTGTATAGAAAAGTTGTCGATAACTACTTTTCTGTATAGAAAAGTTGTCGATAACTACTTTTCTGTATAGAAAAGTTGTCGATAACAACTTTTCTGTATAGAAAAGTTGTTGATAACAACTTTTCTGTATAGAAAAGTTGTCGATATCAACTTTTCTGTATAGAAAAGTTGTCGATAACAACTTTCCGGTATAGAAAAGTTGTCGATAACAACTTTCCGGTATAGAAAAGTTGTCGATAACAACTTTCCGGTATAGAAAAGTTGTCGATAACAACTTTCCGGTATAGAAAAGTTGTCGATAACAACTTTCCGGTATAGAAAAGTTGTCGATAACAACTTTCCGGTATAGAAAAGTTGTCGATAACAACTTTCCGGTATAGAAAAGTTGTCGATAACAACTTTCCGGTATAGAAAAGTTGTCGATAACAACTTTTCCGTATAGAAAAGTTGTCGATAACAACTTTTCCGTATAGAAAAGTTGTCGATAACAACTTTTCCGTATAGAAAAGTTGTCGATAACAACTTTTCCGTATAGAAAAGTTGTCGATAACAACTTTTCCGTATAGAAAAGTTGTCGATAACAACTTTTCCGTATAGAAAAGTTGTCGATAACAACTTTTCCGTATAGAAAAGTTGTCGATAACAACTTTTCCGTATAGAAAAGTTGTCGATAACAACTTTTCCGTATAGAAAAGTTGTCGATAACAACTTTTCCGTATAGAAAAGTTGTCGATAACGTCTTTTCTGTATAGAAAAGTTGTCGATAACGCCTTTTCTGTATAGAAAAGTTGTCGATAACGCCTTTTCTGTATAGAAAAGTTGTCGATAACGCCTTTTCTGTATAGAAAAGTTGTCGATAACAACTTTTCTGTATAAAAAAGTTGTCGATAACTATTTTTTTCTCCATAGAAAAGTTGTCGATAACTATTTTTTCTCCATAGAAAAGTTGTCGATAACAACTTTTCCGTATAGATACGGTTGTCGATAACAACTTTTTCGTATAGATAAGGTTGTCGATAACAACTTTTCTGTTTAGAAAAGTTGTCGATAACTATTTTTTCTCCATCGAAAAGTTTTCGATAACAACTTTTCCGTATTGAAAAGTTGTCGATAACAACTTTTCCGTATTGAAAAGTTCGTCGATAACATATCAACCTTTGGTGTGGTTTTTTTTCCTTACCTTTATTGCCCCCTTGGACATCAAGAAGAACCAATAGATCTGCGGCAAAAACAAAACCAAAATGCCAAAAATACAACCAATAGGTAAATTGATCAAGGCCTGCCAGAAGGTGGCGTTGATCTCAACACTGTAACGCCACATGACATAGGGCCACATCAGGACGCGGCACACAAAGAAAGAGAACAGCATTACCAAGCCGTTGATAATGTAGGAACGGGTCTCCTTTAGGCCCAGGGTGCTGAGGATGCTGCGCAGCGAGACAAAGGGTGTGGAGAACTCCATCATAAACATGTAACTGTAGATGCAGTGGCCACCACCACGTATGTACTGCAAGAGAGAAGACAAAAACAATTTTAGAGTCTGGAAGATAGGTTGGGAGAGGGAGCAAAACTTACCGTGACCACCAAGAAGCCCACTGTGCCAACAAAAATGTGATGAATCATCATTACCGGATGTGTTATCAGATACTTGAAGAAACCCCATTTTCCGTTCTCGGGAATCTGAACTGTCTCCCCATCATAGTCGTAGATTTCATCCTCATGATGACGTATGTGCTGCATATCATCGCCGTTCGTGTCCGCAGATTCGTCCAGGGCCACCAAGCGCTGACCATTCGCCGCAAAGGTCCGGGCAATGTGTTTGTCATAGAGTCCACCATTCGATTGGCCCGTGGCCAGTGGCTTGGGTGTGAACGACGCCGATGAAGTCATCTTCATCAGCTTCAATTTGTCGGCTATCTTCTGGGTATGCACTTTATACATGGACCATATATCGTACATGAAGTAGGCGGTGCCGAACCAGCCATAGCCCTCCATCAGGCAATGGGAGGCATAGACGAATGTTTTGCTGCATGTCGATTTGCAAACAATCAAACCGACCAGGAATGAAAAAGATGCTTGGATGGCGGAAACAATTCTGGAAGGGGAGGGAAACAAAGTAAAAAATTAATATCGAGTCTATGAAAAATATAAAATATTAAACTAAATAAAAATATGACCTCTTATGGCAATAATTTCTGTCATCCTTTCTCTATTATGTCTTGCAATACTTGTTTTTATCGCCCCACTTCCTGGGAAAGAAGTTATAAAGTGCGTAACTCATGTGCCAGAAGAAATTGTCATAGGAACGTTCCAATTGGAATACCCAGTTGGCATTGACCTCAAATTTTGGCAAGATGTCCACTGTGAAACAATGAAAATTGCATTTCATTTCATAAGGACACGCATTATTTACTCCTTAAAGTATGCTTTACATTTTGTGTGAGTGCGGTTTATTATGTGACAGATATTGCCAAATTAAGACAAGTGAAATGATATCACATTTCATTGCTGTTTTTGGCAAGAGAAACATGGGAGGTTTATGGGACAGAGAATAGAAATTGTTATCGATAACTTTTCTGTGCCATAAAGTGGTTATCGACAACTTTTCGATGCGGAAAAGTTGTTATCGACAACTTTTCGATGCGGAAAAGTTGTTATCGACATCTTTCCCTTGCGGAAAAGTTGTTATCGACATCTTTTCCATGCGGAAAAGTTGTTATCGACATCTTTTCCATGCGGAAAAATTGTTATCGACATCTTTTCCATGCGGAAAAGTTGTTATCGACAAATTTTCTATGCGCAAAAGTTATTATCGACAACTTTTCTATGCGGAAAAATTGTTATCGACATCTCTTCCATGCGGAAAAATTGTTATCGACATCTTTTCCATGCGGAAAAATTGTTATCGACATCTTTTCCATGCGGAAAAATTGTTATCGACATCTTTTTCATGCGGAAAAATTGTTATCGACATCTTTTCCATGCGGAAAAGTTGTTATCGACAGCTTTTCTTTGTGGAAAAGTTGTTATCGACAACTTTTCTTTGGAGAAAAGTTGTTATCGACAACTTTTCTTTGGGGAAAAGTTGTTATCGACAACTTTTCTTTGGAGAAAAGTTGTTATCGACAACTTTTTTGCCAATAAGTTGTTATCGACAACTTTTCTCTGCCGAAAAGTTGTTATCGACAACTTTTCTATGCCGAAAAGTTGTTATCGACAACTTGTCTATTGAGAAAAGTTGTTATCGACAACTTGTCTATGGAGAAAAGGTTGCTATCGACAATTTTCTTTGGAGAATAGTTGTTATCGACAGCTTTTCTTTGGGGAAAAGTTGTTATCGACAACTTTTCTCTGTCAAAAAGTTGTTATCGACAACTTTTCTCTGTCAAAAAGTTGTTATCGACAACTTGTCTATGGAGAAAAGTTGTTATCGACAACTTGTCTATGGAGAAAAGGTTGTTATCGACAATTTTCTTTGGAGAATAGTTGTTATCGACAACTTTTCTATGCCGAAAAATTGTTATCGACAACTATTCTATGCGGAAAAGTTGTTATCAACAACTTTTCTATGCCGAAAACTTGTTATCGACAACTTTTCTATGCCGAAAACTTGTTATCGACAACTTTTCTATGCCGAAAACTTGTTATCGACAACTTGTCTATGCCGAAAAGTTGTTATCGACAACTTTTCTATGCCGAAAAGTTGTTATCGACAACTTTTCTGTACCGAATTGTTGTTATCGACAACTTTTCTATGCCGAAATGTTGTTATCGACATTTTTTCTGTACCGAAATATTGTTATCGACAACTTTTCTATACGAAAAAGTTGTTATCGAAAACTTTTCTCTGCCGAGAAGTTGTTATCGACAACTTTTCTATGTCTAAAAGAAGCTATCGAGACATTTCCTAAGCCGAAAAGTGGTTATAGATAATTTTTCTGCGAAAAAAAGTTGTTATAGATAACTTGCGACTCATTTCTCTTTCTAGAATTTTACTATTTATTTAGTACCAAAAAAATGTCAAAAAAAAAGTTTTACAAAATTTAAAATTTTCTTTAATTTCAGATTTTTTCAAAATGTTCCTCCTCAACGCCGCCTCACCGTCCTTCCCATAAACGTACAGTCGCTATCTCCGCCCGAGGAACTTCTGTAGCAAATTTTATGATTCGCCGTGGCATCTTTGGCTGTCAGACGCCTTTTCGCCGCATAGAAAGCCGGATGGGACTGAGTTGAGGGACAGCGAGGCTTGAGTGTGGCTTGACATTTACTGGCCGGGGCATATTTGGGCTTGGGACATTCCTTGGTCGACCACATGCGCAGACGTTGCCGTTTACTAATCTCAACTTCTTTGCGACTCTGCCGTGCCCTATTCAAATAGGTTGGAGGGAAGTTTTTGTTGATGCCCGCCCATTGGGCGGAGTCTTTGTAGCAGTTTTCATGACCTTTTAGAATGTTCGATGGCGCCCGATATCGGGCAGCTGAGGGTGGCCTCAGGGGAATATCACATTTCCCCAGTCTTATGGAGTCATCACCTCTCTGGCCATAGGTTTTGAGACATTGCATGTCAGCGGCTCTGTAACGAGGCAGGAGGGCATTGGCCGAACTGCAAACGGGCAGAAGTTTTCGTGGACTATCGTCGGTATCACTGGTCTCGGCATCGGCATTTGGTTTTCGTTTGTTGCGATAATGGCTAAGTTTGGATGCACTGCCATCCGACGAGTCAAGTTGGGAAGAGGGTTTCTTGAGTATCCCTCTGGGTTTTCTACGCCTCTGGGGACTTGAATCGGAGGAGAGATCATGGAAACGTGGACGGGTATCTGAGAATCCCAGCGAAGAGATACGCAATCTTTTCCGTCTCAATTGGCGACAGGTGGGCTTATCATCGTGGAACTCGGGTTGGGTAGGGGGCCATGAGACCCACTTGGCTTTGGGATGTTCTTTCGGCACACGTTTACGTTTCCAACAAATGCTATCGAATTTTTTCGATTTCTCTCCCTGGGGTATATATCGGGGCTGAAGTCGAGGATAGCAGGTCTTGTCCTCGGGGAGTTTTTCCTCAATGACGGGGCATTCATCCTGGACTCGATGGCGTGGCATCATATCCGTGGGCATTTTTTCTATTCTCATGCAGGAGGATTTCCTTGCTGGGGTTCTCCTGGGAGGTGGGGTCGTTGCCAGTGGCTGATGTTGTCCCAAAATATAGTTGCGGGGTTTTGGTGGCACTGGTGGGGGTATTTTCGATTTTTGCTGGCATTTGTCGGGAAGCGGGGGTTCTAGATTATGCTTCGATACCTTGGGCACAAAATAGCGAGGTCTAAGGGAGCTACAAGATTCGCGCATTTGCGAAATATTCGGTTTGGTCCAAAGCTCCTGCAGGGATCCAAAGCTCCTTTGGGAGTGAAGTCGGGGCCTTAAATCCGGTTCGCTCTCTCGGGAAGTTCCTGTAGATTTTCCAAATTGCATTCCCCCTTCTCCTGTCAAGGTATGGACCCTTGGCTTTTCGATTTTCGTGGAAGATTTTTGATTTGTTGGCTCCTCTTCCTGGCATTTAAAGGGACATGTTTGAGGTTGGCATGCCTCCGGTGGACATTGTTCGTGCACCAAAATTCTGGGTTGGCTGCGGGCGTAATGCATCAAACTTCTCCCCCTACCCTGATGGCAATGGTAAGCCCCATCCTCAGCCGGATATGTTTGATCCTGCGCGGAGAAACACCACCTTTTGAGGAAACATTTGTGGATTTTATGGCGATCCATATGGGTATCGGTTTTCTGCTTTCCCGCCTCCATGCCAGGGGTAGAACCACACTGACAATGCCTTGCATCCTTGCAGGGGGGAATATTCTCTTTTTCCCTTTTCTCCTCTCGCACCTTCTTCCTGGTATAATCCTCGGGCAAACAATACAGACCATTCCTCTGTCTCTGACGGGCATCATGTTGCCTCAACAGCTCCAAAAATTCCGGTGAAATGCGTTTCACGCTGCTCGGTAAACGATAGGAGGACGTTAGGCAGGAGGCCGAGCGTATGGGCACTTTCAATTCCAGGCAATTGCTGGGCGGTGACTGGAATTGGAAATTGCCATAATAACGACATTGGAACTCCTGCAACTGTCGGGGACTCATGCTGCTCAGAGTCCTCTTGAGTTGGGTCATTTGTTTCTGTTGTCGATACCATTCCGTGGCCCGATCCTCAATCAAACAACTAGACTTGGTGGTGGCCACATACAAATCCCTGTGGATGGCATCACACAGCTGTTTGTTGCGACATTTACATTTGTCCCGCACCTGATATTGCCATGGAGCGCCGCGAATCCCTTCCGTGGGGCCATAATATTCACCACCCCGGGCGGCGGATAATATTCGCGAAGTGAGTTGGGTGTAGCAGGAGGTGTTTTTGAATTTATCTACAAAGCGTTCATATTCGTGGGTGTAGGGCTGGCGCATAGTGAAATAGATTGGTAATTACGAAGAATTTTGAAAAATTTTAAGAAATTATTTTTTTAGAATTTTTTTTTTCGAAATGTCGAATGAAAATTTTTTCCGTGTGACAACTAGGCACTGTGGCCAAATTTCCGTAAATTCTTTGTAAAAATTGTCAGAAAGACTTTTTTTGGTAACAAAAAGTTATCGATAACAGTTTTTTACCCAGAAAGTTTGTCGATAACAAGTTTTTCACATAGAAAAGTCAATTACATTTATTGAATATTGGTCGATAACACGTTTTCTGTAAACAAAAGTTATCGATAACAATATTTTCATATAGAAAAGTCGTCGATAACCAATATTCTTTGTTGAAAAGTTGTCGATAACAAGTTTGAATTTATCGATAACAATATTTTCGCATAGAAAAGACGTCGATAACCAATATTCTTTATTGAAAAGTTGTCGATAACAAGTTTACAATGTAGAAAGTTTTTCGATAACACCCTTTCTGCACCGAAATGTTATCGATAGTAAGTTTTAAACACATAAAAATCGTCGATAACCAATTTTCTTTATAGAAGAGAAATCGATAATAATTTTTCAGAAAAAATAAGTTGCCGATAACAAAATTTTTTATATAAAAGTTATCGATAACTACTTTCCCACACGCAAAAT